ACCACAGCACAGAGGTCAGAGGTCTCATGGAGTCCATGCCTTGACGAGTCAGAGCTGTTTTGGTGGCACAAGGGGGGCCTACACAATATTAGGCAGGTGGTTTTACTGTTATGGCTGATCAGTGTATATTTTTACTTATGACCTCTTGTTGTGCTATTGTTCTTGGTTTCACAAAATTAAAAAGTAATCCACTTTAAGGCTTTTGGTTAACAGCGACTAATGAGATGTGGATGCCAAAGACTGACCCTTATTTTTGAAGTATTTTTGCCTGCTTGACCATTTATACTTTATTCCATTTATATTTTGACTTTTTACAAACTGAATCTATTAGGCTTATGCTCATGTCAGTATGGCACATATCCAACAATGTGATCAAAGCATTACATTCACTGTGTAAAGGAAGCAATTAAAACATCTGTAGACAGAGTAACTGTTTTTACAGATGCACCTATTTGATCTTTGCACCAACCATAAGCAAGTTTGGAAAGTAAAACATTTTATAGACTCTATTCCTGCCTGGTGTAATGAAAAGTGGGAGCAACTGCATCTTGCTGTATTTCTTCAAGTTTCCGCAGTGCTGTGCTGTTCTCCTCTCCCTTCGCTCTTTCACTCCCCCTGACTCTGAGTTTCATTCATGTCACCACTAAGTTGAAAACAATGCGTGTGTTATTTAGTTTTTCTTGGAAAAAATAAATAATAAAATGAGACTTTTTTTAATGGGACAAAATATACTTGGGCAGACATCAGTTTTACCTGGGCAGGGCACAATATATGTGGGAAACACTGCAAATATATTTTATAATCTTTTGATCAAGTATACATTCAACATAAATGCTGACAAGGTTTGGAAGTGTATAGAGTGTTTGTATGAATGCCTTGTGAATACTTGCACCTTTAATCGCAGCAAACCCATTCATCTCCACCATTGACATCCAAGTCATGTTTCCATGGTGAACTACACTGGTTTCCATGGTGATAGCTTGTGTTTCAGCGCTGAAGTAAGAGTGTGCAGCGTGTGCTGAGTCCATAATGTGACTCTCAGTGTTTCTTTGTGATGCCATGGAGGTAAGAAGGGAATTAAGAATAAATATGGCCAAAGATTCAAATGCAGTAGGCTTGTTGCTGTTAAATAATTAATTTAATGAATAACATTATTTTAAAAATCCCATTTAATATGCATTGTATTTGCAAGTAAAAATGGGCAAATGATAGCTTTTGCTATAGAAGCTGCTGGGTCAAAATTAGTATACAATTGCATCTCAAGGTTATGTTCAATGAATTGTTATTTAATAAAACAGAACCAATAAAGCAGGAGTTGATTTAACAGACAAAACCTTAAACCATTTCATTATAAACCAGAGGAAAGTACACTCAGTATGTCTGCAATTAAAAGTGTTTTGATATAATACTGTTTTATCCTGGAATACTAATTTGTTGCTGAAATTAAAATACACCACTCTTTGTCGGTATTGTCATAGTGCCACACTTTTCTCTTAAAATGACTAGAGGGTCTGTCTGCAAAGATTTATATTCTATCAGCCATTTAAAAATTCTACTTTTCCCACTCTACTTACATTTGCATTAAAATATTCCTTCTCTCAATAGTATTTTCTCTGAATGTAGCACAATTATTGATGATTATTTAATCTTATTGAGTATGTTGAGGGAGGCAACATTTCAATTCAATTTGCAGTTATTTGACGCGACCTCAATAACAACAAGCTATTTAGAAGGAGATCCTTCCAAAGAGCTACTCAGAAAATGCATAGCATGAACTTCACCAAGGGTCATTTGAACCACATTTGAATTTTATGCAATCGTGATCAGCGGGAGGCATGGAGGTACAGCAGGTAGTTTTGCTTCCTCACAACTCTGCGTTTAATCTTGCACAGAGTTTCACAGGATTTCTCCAATGTGCACTTCCCCTATATCCTCCAACTGTAATCCCTCCAACTGCCATTCTAATTATCTGTTCTTATATATCATTCTAATAAATCTGTTCTTTATTTGGACTCTGTGACAGAGTCTGCTCCATAATTTCACATGCTCATTGCTAAGTCTTGTTTGCATTCTCTGCCTAGACTACTAAGCCATTGTTACTCATGTTCTGGTTTGTATTTGCAATGTATGACTTTGGTCATGCTTTGGTTTTATGGTTTTTATTTCTCTAGTTTGCCCCTTTTGCTACTTTGTTTGGCAGTGTTATTCCAATTTTCAACTGTCCATTTTCAGTGAAACTGTGCCCACTGTAACCTCAGATTCTGTACCTTACAGGCTGACAGGAAGAACCCAATTCGTGTCTTCTGATCTTGTAGCCCATCCACCTCAAAGTTCAATGTGTTGTGCATTCCAAAATGCTTTTATACTCACTATGGTTGTAAACAATGGTTATTTAAGTTTTTGTAGACTTCCTGTCAGCTCAAACCACTCTGGCCATTCTTCTGTGACCTCTCTCATCAGCAATCAACAGAACTTCCCTTTACTCCATTCTGTGTAAACTCTAGAGACTGTTCTGTTCCCAGGAGATCAGTAGTTTTTGAAATACTCAAACCAGCCAGCCTGGCACCAATGACCATACCACAATCAAAGTCACTGAGGTGTTCCTATTGAAGTGGCCAGTGAATACATACACTATATTGCCAAAAGTATGTGGACATTTAACCATCACAATCATATGTGCTTATTGAACATCCCAGTTCAGATTTAGTCCTCTTTTGCTGCCATAACCACTAGATTTCCACTAGATATCCACTAGATTTTAGAGTGTGGCTGTGGGGATTTGCCCATTTAGCCACAAGAGCATTAGTGAGGTCAGGCGCTGATGTTGGATGAGGAGGCCTGGCGTGCAGTCAACATTCCAATTCATCCCAAAGGTGTTCAGTGGGGTTGAGGTCAGGGTTCTGTGCAGGCCACTCGTTCTTCCACTCCAACCTTGGCAAACCATGTCTTTATGGGCCTTGCTTTGTGCACAGGGGAATTGTCATGCTGGAACATGTTTGGGCCTCTTAGTTCCAGTGAAGGGAAATTGTAATGCTACAGCAAACAAAGACATCCTATACATTGTGTGCTTCCAACTTTGGGGCAACAGTTTGGGGAAGACCCACATATGGGTGTGATGGTCAGGTGTCCACATACTTTTGGCCATATACTGTATGTGTATGTGAGAGAATTCTTATTCTGCTTCTTCTTATAGTCTCACCCATTCCTTTTCTATGGCTGGTCAGATTTGACTACAATCCCTAATATGAAAAACTACCTAAAAATAATTGTTTTAGGTACAAAACTATTCATTCTTTCATGCATCTTAAGTAACTGTTTAATCCCGGCCAGGGTCATGGTAAATCCGGAACCTATCTCAGGAACACCGGGCAGGAATACACCCCGGATGGGTAGCAAGTCCATCGCAAAGAACCGTGAACACTGACTTTCACACACTCATTCATACATTCACCTAGGGGTAATTTTGAGGAGCCAATTCTCAACAAAACCACTTATAATTTATCATCAAGCACATGAAAATGTGTTCAGATGCATAGTCTTGATAAGGTCATTAAGCCTGATGCCACCATAGTTATGCTTTCTGTCTCATATTTAGAAGAAAATAGCAAATTTGACCAGAACACAACAGGTGGGTCTTGTTATTGCCCTGTTTTGAAAATCTGTTGCTCCACATTACTGATCAAGGTATGAAGACATACTATTATATTGTCACACCTGTAAGAGGGGAGAAGTACGTGTGCATGAATAACCGTGACACATAAATAATTTAAGACGTCTAAGAAGAAATATTTCAAGTCAAGTCAATTTGCAATTTATTCTTTGTTATTGTGGACTGTACAGTACAGGAATTCATGATCCATGATTAAATTGAAATATTTTGGGGTGTTATATGTTTATACCACTCCTGCTTACATTGCCTACACCTTTTGTTTGTAGTAGTTTTGTTCTGGTTCTTCATCAATGTCCTCATCTTCATACTCACCCTCGCTCACAATACACACACTTCCATCTCTGCAATGCTAAAAAGCCTGTCGTCAGTGTCACCATAGCAACAGTGTCGTATGCTTGGACACAGCTGTCTCTACCAAGATTAGCTTGTGTGTATGTAGGGTTGGGATGATATGTATGTCTTAACTCTGTATGTTGCTGGTGTGTGTGTTCTTGTGATTAAAGTCTGTTGGAGTGAATGAGGCATGTTCCTGACACCAACATCTCTGTACACATCAACATACATACATTAACACAAACCACATGTTGGTACTGTGCCACCTGCCACTCAATATACATGATTAATTAATTAATTAATCAATTAATTAGTTAGTTGCATTAATAATTATGACAATGTATGGTCCTCACAAGGATAAGGATAAAAAAAAAAGCGTATGCATGTCTAGAAATGATACTTCTCTAGACTACTGTTGTCCCCTCGGCTATACTATAAATAGCTCCGTAACTGTCTGGGTGGGTTTAAATATAGACACTAAGACAGGATTCTCCCCCAGCACTCAGCCACATGAATAATATATGAGAAAATGTGGCTATGCCAAAGCCCAGCCATTTAGGTCAGCTGTGTCTGTGTGTGTGTGTGTGTGTGTGTGTGTGTGTGTGTGTCTGTATGTGTACTCGCAGTGCACAGCTGCATTTTGGTTCATGTCTCGAGGACTGCTAAAACACAGCTGAAAAAGAAAAAAGCAAAAAAAGAGCAAGAAAACAAGAGAACAGGAATCTAATTTTTCAAGTCATTCATGGAGCTGTGTGAAGACTTGAATGTATTGTCATTCACAAGATTTTGTGTATTAGCATGATCATTTGTGTATGTGTGCATGCATTGTCATTTGACTTGTTGTTGTTCCTCTTTCGGCTGCTCCTGTTAGGGGTCGCCACAGCGGTCCGCGTATTTTTGATTTGGCACAGATTTTACGCCGGATGCCCTTTCTGACGCAACCCTCCCCAATTTTATCTGGGCTTGGGACCAGGACTGAGAGCGCACTGTTGCATGGTTCCCTGGCCAGGAATCGAACCCAGGCCACATTAGAGAGCGCGCTGTGGCCTAACCACTAGTCCTCCAGGGACCCATGTATTGTCATTCGACTATTGTGGAAAATAAGGAAAACATGGTCTTTACTTGGTAACCGTGGAGACAGTGTCACTTTCTGAAGGGCTTGGAGGCAGGTTCAGAAACAGTCTCCTCAAGTCACCACACACACTAACTGTCCTGCACAATAGTCCTGACTACAAGTTATATTCCCATACAATTACAATTTACTAATTTGGCTGATGCTTTTATCCAAAGTAACTTATAATTGAGATAGTGAGCACTTGAGGGATTAAGGGTCTTGCTCAAGTGCCCAAGAGTAGCATCTTGGCGATGATAGGATTGGAACTCACAGCTTTCCAGTTAGTAGCTTGATGCTTATCCAGTGAGGCTCCACAGCACTGCTATATGTGTCAAAGCTGAACCGTCTGTCTAAGAAAAGAGAAAATGCAGAAAATGTAGTCTTTCAAGTATGTCTAAATGATTTTATGAATGTTATCTGTTAGTATTAAGTTAAAATAATATTAATGAACTACCAATTAGTATCAAACTATGAACCTTCCTCGCTTCATAATGAATTTTCTCAATCTGTAAATTGAGAGGTGCTAATAGGATTGATGGCAGCAGGCTGCTCCCAGATGTGATCATAGTGTAAAAACATGAGAGTCATGTTGATCCCATAGTGGTCTTGAAGGTGAGAACTGAAGTAAAAAAAAATGTGAGGAGATCATTATAAAACAGACTGCTGCCATTCCAACACAATCTTCAAATTTCCACTCTCTAAACATCAACGAGTGCAGCTCTAAAGAAAAAGGAGAAACAGACACAATACTGGGATACAGAGGACTAGGGGGACGAGAGACTCTGAAAGGAAAGAAATCTCCATGAACATACAAGCCCTTCCATGCTTAGGCCTCATGTTGAGTATAGACATGGTTGCTATGGAGACAGATCTGCAGCAGTGTGGTCAAGGTCAGAGAAGGAGTTCTTAGAGAAAGGCTCAGAATGGCCAAAGGTGAGGGTAAGCCTTTTCAACATGTACTCACAAACACACGTGTTTATTTTACTATTTTTGTGAGGACACACACGCATACAACATGCCAACTATGCACAAGAAAAAATGACAGTTACAATCTCCCTGCTTCTCTCTTCTTTTGAATTCATGCACATATTGAAAGACTTTGGTTGATATTAACCAATCACGATTTAAGGACCATTTATTACTGCATACAAAATGACATACTGAGTATTATTAATCAGCTGTGATTGTATTATTTTGGATACTTTTGGAAAACAGAAAAGTAAATTACCTAAAACAAGCATGGGAGAGCTTATATGACTAATACGTTACTATAAAAGAGACAAAATAAAAATATTAAAACAAAGGAAATAGACAGTGTAACAGAGGTAAACAGTTAAGCTGTTAATTCACATCTGCCATGGTGTCATGGCAACAGTGCTCTCCTTCTCTGATTGGTGGTGGCTAAGGGCTAGCAGGTGAATGGCATCTGGGATGAGCCATTTCCTTCTCAGTGTGTTGAACAGGGAGAACATTTTCATTTAAGTATGTCTGTGTGTGGGCAGGGTGGGGGAACTGTGAGCAGGGGTGCATACAATAGTTTTTCATGTTAATTGAGGGTCCTCTTGCTCTTGTTACATATAGCTGTTACCTACAGACTTTCAGATATGTGCCTGTGCCCCTCTTTATGATTGTGTATCCAGTTTTTCAGCAACTCAGTCATATGTTATAAGCAAAAATCATATTTTCAAACATGCTTCTTGCTTTCCTGTGGCAGTACTCAAAACTGACAAAGACTAATCAGTACAGGGGCTGTTCTTTGAAGGACCGGTATACAGTGTTAGGGACAGAACAGTCCTGCTGTATCCTTGTGCCAGATGCAGACTGTGTAAGGATTAGACCAGGCCTTGGGCTGCTACAACATCACAGACAGCACTTTCCACAGCCTAAACACCCTGCTCCCTGGGCTGTCATAACACCCAGCAGCATAGCAAAACATTTCACACACAGTGCATCTATAGTCTATGGTTTTCTTTTCCTAACAAACTGTATTAAGGTACAATGTACATACAGTCAGGTCCATAAATATTGGGACAGTGACACAGTTTTGGTAATTTTGCCTCTGTACACCACCACAGTGGATTTGAAATGAAGCAGTCAAGATGTGACTGAAGCGTAGACTTTCAGCTTTAATTCAAGGGGTTTAACAAAAATATTGCATTAACCGTTTAGGAATTACAGCCATTTTTTACAGAGTTCC